TCCTGCAGTATTGCGAAAAATGTTTTCCCACACTAGTGCGGTATAAAAACATTTATATAATATTCTCGCAAAATATGAGTAGTGGGTGGCACAATATGAAAATTTTAGGTTTTTTTGTTGCAGTTTTTAGTAAGTTTGTACACAATCATCCATCAAATTGCACTATTTATTGTGAAAATGGAGAAATATTGAATAATAGTCGATTGTAATATAAATCCCCCTATACACCGAGAAAAGTCCAGTTATACATGTCTCTATTCAAAAACTTCTTATAACCGCCAAATGAAACATTTTAATCACGAAATGTCATCTGATGAACGTGAAAAGTTCACGTTTTCAACGTGAAACAGGTCACCCTTTCAAATCACTCTTCTTGTTTCAAAGAGGAAATCTTTCAGATTCGAAATGAGACAAGATTATAGTTGAAAGATGGAAATTTGAAGATAATCATTTAAATCCTGAAAGATGTCATTTCACAGTTATACAATTATCATTTAATTTCATCCCTTCTATCATTTTCCATCTTTGTCATACTCGTTTACCTCAATGAGTCATCTCACTCACCTATGAACTCTTGTTCGATGAGAATCGTTAGTCGTCTCCGGATTCCTGATATGAAAGGACATATTTGGCAGCTCGTGGACTCTTCTTGCAGAGTGATTTTTTTTTTCGAAAAAGTGAAGTGGTTGAGAGATCTTCTAGAAATATTAGGGACATATTTGTTCATATATCCCCCAAGATTTGTTGAGGAACTACAGAATTTTGAACTGCCTCTGGGCGTTATAGTGTTTTCACGATATTATATCGGTAAGTGTATGTATGGGAATGTCTTCCAAATTGGAAAAACTTTTATTTTTTTAACTCACCTCACTATTCACTAAGTGGCAAAAGCTTGGATTTGAACAGTTTTATCGGTGATAGATTGTATTGCGTATACATTGTGTCCAAGATTAATGATTACTATCATGGGGATCTCGAAAACGTCGCAAGAAAAGTCTCTCAACGATCTTTTGTAAAGCTCAAGTGAAAATAACGGTAAATAAAATAGAACGAAATCTGCGAATGTGAACTCTAATTCACTGACGATACTGTGTAATTACATTTTTGGCCACTATGTTAACTAATAATCCAATGCACTGACAATGAGAACAAATAGTCCAAATTGGAAGTATTTTTGTCCTACACAAACTGAGATTGATATGAGTATTATTTAATTTTTATAATATCACTATTCAATATTGAAATGCTTTTTATTTGACTATCAAATTGAAAACAAGTCAAATTTATATGAGTATCTTCTCATTTTTATAATATCACCGTATAGCATTGAAATGCTAGCCATTAGACCCATATTTGAGTGTCATTTCATTCTTATATAAGTGATATTTCACAATTATATGATTGTTTTGAAATGATGAACGTGATTACAGTGAAATAGGAACTTTGCTGGCGCCTATTCAATTCAGAAATTAATATATATTTCTCTCGGTGTAGCCTTTAATTGATCTGATGTGGGAAACAATAAATGTTGTCGTGTCAATCAAAACACAAATCAGTTAGTGTAATTCTCAGAGTGACAGACAGAGCGTTACTGTCATTTTCGATCCAGTGGAATTACGATGAAAAACTCCCAGCTACAGATGCAATGTACAGATGAATTATTGCCAACGAAGTCTTAAGAAAGGTATGAGCAGCACTACACGGGATTTATTGAATGATGCAATAGTAAAAAAGTGAAAACACCAAATAAAGAAGAAGAATTGAAAAGGAACATTCTCAGATATATTTATGAATACAAAAAATGGATATACAGTGTGTCCCACTTACCATGCTCACCATGGGTATCTTTTTAACGGTGAGAGATACGAGGTCGGTTAAATGACACCAAATGTGGAGTTTGTCAAGGCCAACTATGATAAGAAAAAATATTCCGATAAAATCTATTCGTTTTTGTTTTATACGCAAAAAACAGATTTTGATCATTTTCATGTCTTCTCCGTAACTTCTTTATTTATGAAAATATTCAAATAGGAATTTCACATTCTCATGGCAGTTTTTCAGAGTGATTTCGAAAAAAATATGAAATTTATACCAAATCTTCTAGAATTTGAGATATCAGCACCAACTTGAGTTTTTCAAATGTAGGTCATAGCTCACTATGAGCTATGAGTTACAAATAATTTTTTTTTCTCTTACAGATTATATGTCGCAGTAATAGTTTTGTGTTGATTACAACGGAGTTAACGTCATTTATACAGAAACAAAAAATTATTTGGAAGCCGCCATCCTGAATTTATAATGTTCAAGAAAAAATCATGATCTCCGACCGCAAAAACCCCCACCTACCAATTTTGAATGGACTCGGACCAAATCTTGTCCGCCATCTTGGAGCAGCCATTTTTTTTAATTGATGACGGACAAAATTTGGTCCGATTCCATTCAAAATTGGTGAGTGAGGGTTTTGAGGTCGGAGATCATGATTTTTTTGTGAAAATGTATAAATTCAAGATGGCGGCTTCCACATAATTTTTTGTTTTTGTATAAATGACGATAACTCCGTTGTTATCAACACAAAACTATTACTGCGACATATCATCTGTAAGAGTTTGAAAAATTAAAGTTGGTGCTGATATCTCAAATTCTAGAAGAGTTGGTATAAATTTCATATTTCTTTCGAAATCACTTTGAGAAACTGCCATGAGAATGTGGAATTCCTATTTGAATATTTTTATAAATAAAGAAGTTACGGAGGAGACATGAAAATGATCAAAATCTGTTTTTTGCGTATAAAACAAAAACGAATAGATTTTATAGAAATATTTGTTCACACTATAGTTGGCCTTGACAAACTCCACATTTGGTGTCATTCAACCAACCTCGTATCTCCCACCGTTACAAAGATACCCATGGTGAGCATGGTAAGTGGGACACGCACTGTATATATATATATATATATATAGAGAGAAATATATTTTATCGACCTCAATCGCAGATTCGTGATAAGGTTCTTCTCAATTCAGAATTTCTTTCCACGTCCTGTATGATGAATGTCAATTTATCCTAAATAAAAAAAAAATTGAGGAGAACAATTTTTGGCTCATTTCCTAGAAATGTCTGAAACCTAGAGGCCAAACACCATGAGCAATAAGCAAAAAGCTTACCTACATAATACTTCAAACACTACACAGAATAGATATATCACTAATTATTAGAAGATAAAGAATTTATCACTTCATCACTATTGTTAGTTGTTCCTATTTGCAGGAATAATTGATTGAACAAATCAATCAATTTCTTACAGTTGTAGAAAAAATATTGTTTCCCGCACTCGAATGCTTGACCGAACTCCTATTCGCGTCGTTCGAGTCAACGACGTTCGCATGCGAGAAAGTATCACTTTCCGCACTTGTTAGGAAAATAACTATTGTAGATTAGGATCTAGGATATGAGTTCTTCTCAAGAAAAGCCAAGTATCTACACGGCAAAAATGGCTGTTTGTTGAATGAACGAGTCATTGGAAAGAGATGTTCTGCAGGTCTCCAAAGTGACCACGAAGAGGTGCGAAGCCTCAACTTGACGGGTTGATCTCGCGGGGACTACCAAGGGAGGAACAATTGTTGATATTGCAGAAGAGCAACTTCTATTGAAATATCATTGCATTTGGAATTTCGAAGTAGGGGTTGCTAGGGGCTAGGGGAATGAACACATCAAGTTCATTTAACCATCGAAATCGACGAGTCCCTAGGATTTTTTTTATCGCTTGGAGCGCACGAAAGGAAATCCCTATAATGTTCAAAGAACATCGTTCGTTCCTAGGGAGGATAGGGATAGGAGGTAGGTATTGGAATTTCTTTTGAACTTCTGGAGATTATATGTTGTTGGGAATACTTCCTCAACAGGCAATGAATTCCAGAGCCTAGCCGTTCTATGGATGAAGGTGTTTTGATAAAGTGCTATTCGACATCTTTAAAGGTTGACAACGAAAGGATGTGCTGACTGGGCTTGTCTAGTTCGTCTGACTTGTATTGCTAGTGCAGGGATGATAACAGACATTTCCGAAGAACATTCCCCGTGGAAGTATCGATAGAAAAGTGAAAGGTCGCCGACCTTTCAACGGTGTTCCAATGATGTCAAAGAGTGAGTGAGTGTGGCGTCACCCACCAGGCGGATGGCTCTTCTCTGAATGGAATCTAAGAGCATCAGCGTATGTTTTGGCACTGAACCCCATATGTGGGAACAGTATTCTAGAACAGGCCGTATCTGCGCTTTGTAGATCATGAGGTGCTGTTGAGGTGTAAAGTAGCTTTTCGCCCGGAACAAGAATCCGAGTTTTTGTGAAGCAGCTTTTGCAATGGATCTGACATGATTATCCCATGAAAGAGTGTTGCTGATGGAAATACCGAGCATAAATATGGTGGGCTTGGTGGAGATGGTGGTGCCAGACATTACAATGTCGGGCATACTGAGTTCCGCCTTTCTAGAGAAAATACAGGTTTGAGTTTCGGTGGAGTTGAATTCAACTAGGTTGTTGGTTCTCCAGGCTGTGATTTCAGCAAGGTCTTCATTGACAGCATTGACCTGCCTGCGCCGTGAGTTCTTAGTTTCCTGGGAAGAAATGGGAATTCTGGAAGAGAACTCAGTATGGAGGGTACTATCATCTGCAAAGCTGTGGATGGGCAAGTTGTTACAACAGGTCATTGATACGAAGAAGGAATAATGTTGGTGCCAATATTGATCCTTGTGGAACGCCGGAATTGATGCCAAATTGTATCAGACGATACACCGTCCGATAATTCGGTTTTCTAATTATAATCGGGGGACAAATTTTCTGTGGAAGACCCTGTATATTGTTTTAGTCAGTCCAGCGACGAAACAAGGACGAAACAGTAGCAGCACTATTCCGTTGTCAATTTATACCTTTCATAAAACTCCAGGCTTCTGCCACCCAGTATCAGATTAAATGAGGTGGGATTGATGTCTCTCCCGAAGCAAAATATTACCTTGAATGTCCTCAGGTTGTCCACTACACACGCTAGCAATGCGTCTCTTCCCACAGTAACAGTCACGTTCGGAATGGGCTCGGCAAAGCGTGGGAACACTGAATCTGGAACAAAAAAAGTGTCATTGAATGTTAGGCGGAATTGTGATTTCACTGGGTAACATCCACCATGATCTCAACATTTATGGGGTGTCACACAGATAATCGAATCTGTTTTTTTCTAATTTTCACAAATGTGATTTTTATAATAACTCCCAACGTAGCTATAACTACAACAAAATTGTTCACCTCCATGTTAGCTATCTTCTGGAAAGGATTTCACTTCATATATACTCAATTTGTTCCTATTGTTGGTCTAATCTCCTACACCTACGGCTGATGATAGTCATAATATGTATGTCTGAAACATGTATCCCTTGATGTTATATTGTTCAAAGTATATACAGGGTGTTGCGAAATTCGACCGACAACGCTTGACAGGTAATAGCCCTCGTGATTTCATGATCACGTAGATAGGGACATACGATCTCCAAGTGTTCAGTTCTCGAGATACAGGGCGTTGAAGTTGAGAAATTGAAATAGTATTTTCGCAATATCTCAAGAGGGATTGAATATAATGCATTCAAATTCGGTATATGGTTTCATCTCTCGATGGTTCATTTTTTGACCAGAAAGACATTCCGATAATTTTATACATAGGTGCGCTACAGGGGGTTGTGATAACTTTTCCTCCCATATTTTCTACGCCACTGACGGAATTTCGATTATTTACAATTTCTCGAATTGATTGTTCAATTATGTTGAAAAATGCATCACCTTCAACTGAACTAAAATGAATAGTTATCGAGATATTTGACCCAAAATAGAAGTTTGCATAGTAATTTTTCATCTCCCTCAGTAGTAGAAAATCACAAAAATATTTGTTTTCTCTTTATACGTGGAATAACTCTTTCTGTTCAGCTATAGGATGAGATCTGAATAGTTTTTAATCTACTTAACACCAGGAATATATTTTGCAATTTTCTACTACTAGAAATGATGAGATATTACAATGCTATCTCTATTTTGGGTCGAATATCTCGGAAACTGTTCATTTCAGCTCCGTTAAAGGTGATACATTTTTTGAACAAAAATGAACAATGAATTCGAGGAATTGGAAATAATTGGAATTTAATCAGTGGCGTAGAGAATATGGGAGGAAAAGTTGCCTCACCCCCCCTGTAGGGCACCACTGGAAAAAATGTCCGGAATGGCATTCTGGTCAAAAAATGACTCATTCAAAGATGAAACCATATACCGAATTTGACAGCATTATATTCAATTATTCTTGAGATATTGCGAAACAACTATTTTTATTTCTCAACTTTAACGCCCTGTATCTCGAGAACTGAACATTTGGAGACCGTATGTTCCTATCTCAGTGATTATGAAATCACGAGGTCTATCACCTGCCAAGCGTTGTATAGACTGTCGTAGAGATGATGTTTCGTGTTATTCAGTATTTGGGTAAGAAATGAAGAATGAAGTGACATGCACTGTCCTTCACGACGAGCTGAGTCGATGAGTAAAATGCGAAACTACTCAGATGAGTTATCTGAAATTATTTATAAGGGGATTTTCTGAAAACTGCTGTCTCAAGTAGAGTTCTCTAGAAAATCCGATCCCATTGTGCCCAACATAAGCTTGTCAGAAGTAACCGTACCTTTGAAGACATTCATTTCGATGTTTGGTATTACTATCAGCAATAACCTTTCTTGGTAAAATTACGTGAGATCAATTTCTGAAAGTGCATCCCAAAAACATGGTTTTCTGTTTCGAACCAGGAGCCATTTCACTTCTAGTGAGCTGCTTATGATCTATAAGGCACAGATCCGACCTGTTCCATATTTGGAGTGCAGCACCCAAACATATCCAGAAATTGTTGGATTCTGTCCAAAAAAGGGCAATTCGTCTCGTTGGTGATGCCTTGCTCACGAACTCGCTCACTTCTCTGGAACACCGTAGAAAAGTTGGCGATATGGCTCCATTTTATAGATATTTTCATGGACGATGCTCTTCTGAAATATCAACAATTGTTCCTCCCTTGACAGTCCTCGCGAGATTAACCCGTCGAGTTGAGGCTTCGCACCCCTTCGTGGTCACTTTGGAGACCTGCCGAACATCTCTTTCCAAAGACTCGTTCATCCAACGAATAGCGAGGCTCTGGAACACATTGCCAAGGGAGGTGTTCCCTGAGGCATATAACCTCCAGAAATTTAAGAAGAACACCAATCCCTACCTTATTTTCTTTGGTTCTCACGATGTCCTCTGAACATTACTTACAGGATAATTCTTTTCGTGGGAATATTTTCAGATTCCGTTGAATTCCAATGTAGCTTCATTCAGAACATCTATGTCGTGAGTACGCCATTTTTGAGTTATTCTTGATTCTTTGAAATTTTTTACAGATCCAGATCCTTATAAGAATATTTATCTATACACCAACTTAGTGAAGAATATAATTATTATTCAAGGATCAAGATCAAATCCTGAGGCTTCAGTCAGTTTCCTCAGTTCCTTCATACCATCAGAGCCAATTGATCACTTGGAATTCTTCAATAACCACGAACATTTAGGTATGTCCACTGATTTCGAGAAGGTGTAAGTTCTGGCTTGGTATTAGTTGGTTAGTATTGGAAATTACTTTAGGTTCAATTGAATATTGATTCATTCTGTGTTCCTGTACAGAATCTTCAATAAATCATCTAGATTAAAAAATAAAATGAACGAATAGCGGCGGACACATACATAGAGTCCTGATGCTAGAATCTAATAAAACCTTTATGTCGATTTTCCGACAGCCCATTCTATAGAAACTTTATTCGTATCGCTAACGATGCGCGAATACCGTAACAAGGACCAGTGGCGTAGGTAAGAGTAATTGAAGTTTTTTTTTTATCAACCGGAATCACTGAATAACCATCACGTTTGCCTGCCTTGAATCCTCTTAAGACCTGAATTTCATGTTCAATGTATACAGAAGAATTGGAGACGCTATGAGGTGGAGATGAATCAATGAAAACTAGTCTAGTTGGATACTTGATCATCCATCTCGTGTATTTGTTCAAATCTCAGCTAGTCAACTGATTCGAGGACATCCAGTTCTACTGCATTGAGAATCCTTCATGCCGGCATTTTTTTATGTATATATCTGAATATTATTTGTATCCCACGTGATACTTCCTACCCACAGGAAACGAATGATACATGTGAAAAATCATCAGTTATATGAGGGTTATATAGATACCAATGTGTAATGTGAAACATAACGACACTGATTTCAGTGTCGTAATGAGATAATTCACCGCACTACTCCAAACAAATGTTAGTTCACAGCACTTGTGCGGTCAAGTAAAATGAATATTCCAAATTTCAGTTGTGCACTCATAAGAAAAGAAATTAGAACCAATTGATCATATAAATATTGCAGGTACTAAAGTTAAAATTGCTTCATTTGCTGCAGTTCTTCTATCGGATCTATTCTGGATGTTCATGTCAAATTGAAGTGAAGGCGTCGTTTTTGGTAGAAAGTAAATCAATATACGATATTTTTGACAAACCGATCTCATGTTATAATGTATGAATATTTACGATTGTGTCGTGAATATATTATATTACCTACCAATAATAATTCCAATGAAGTTTTTTACAGTCCTCTAATCTCTTCTAGTTGTTTTTTCTGCGCCTTCCCTCAAAGTGCTGAACAGACACCTCTGGTGAAGGACTGTAGAGAGTCCTGCCACTTGTCCTTTCATTGAGATATATTCGTATCTCCATTTGATTTTTACGAGAATTTTGGAATGCACTCCAATTTGGAGGAGCGCATGTGGTTTTCACGACAAATTGGCCGATGTCGTCCTTCTATATAGGTATATACGAACGAATGTCACTTATGCCTTTGTACCAGGTGGGGTGACTTGGGACTAGTCACCAGTGGCGGCTCGTGACTTTCATGACAGAGGAGGCTGAATGATATGAGATTTATTGTGAAAAACAACTTTCTACTCACCCAAATCGATAGCTTCAATGACATTCTGTTTACCAGTTAACCTGAACTTAATACTTGAAGAGATGTGTTCCTGTGATTTGCAGTGTCTATCCAATCCGCGAGGCAAATTCTTCAAATCATTATATCCTAGTCGCCCCCAACATGATGACTTATCGGTTGAAAATAATACGCAGTATCAACAAAATAGCTTATTCCTTACCTCAGATTCCGTCAACCAGATATATTTTTTATAATTATCAGAAATGAACAAACGATTTTGTTTGTTACCTGTTACAATCAGATTTTTTAATTCCGGTGTCGGACGTTTGTTTTTCACAATCAATTTATCTCCATAAGTCAAAGCACTGAATGGGTTCACCAAAAAGTATTCCACTAAATCGCAATCGTTTAAAACACTCATTTTTCAGAAATTTATAGAGCCCCTAACCATTAACCTAACATAAACATAAACAATGCACTCGCGTTTGTCCGCAATTCGCGAAGCGACATGACAAACACGTGCCATTCGGGCGTATTCGGGCATTTGCATTGCGCGCGTAGGTTGCGCGTTATGAAGGAGTCTAGCTTCCTACAGATGTTGCGAAGTTGAATATTTAACGCGTGATTTGCAGACTTCAACTTGTGATGCGTGGGCAAGCACTGTTGCCAATTCAAAAATATTTTACTGAAAACAGGAAATAAAATCAAAATCCATGTATTTTGGTGTTCTTTTAATGAGATAGTATAGATAATATTAGTTTAAGGAAAATTTCTGAGGAGGCTCAGCCTCCGTTGCCTCCTCTGAGGAGCCGCCACTGCTAGTCACTCTCAATAAACTCATAACAAAATATTGAATTGATAATCTCTTGATCTTGATCTTGATCTTTTAGTGATTTTTAGTCATTAAAAGCGCTTTATTGAGGTTTGTTCATGAACCCAGAGAAGAAATCATTCGGTGCAAGAGCAAAGTTGATAGCTAATAACTTCAATTCAGATTGGGAATGCATATCAACACACCATTCAGATCTGCTGTTATAACTCTATTAACATTTTTTCAACTATTTTGTGATCTCAATCT